CAAAGGTTTTAAATTTGATCACGTTTGGGATCAAATTAAAAAATTTGAAAAATTTAAAGATAATGTGTCAACTGCAAGACATGTTGCTCCAAAAAAAAGACAAGTTAATTATGAATCTTCCCAATCAGACTCCCATCCACCATCTCCAATTTCCTCATCACTTGGATTGTCATCTTCATTCAATAAAGAAGTTGATACTCATTCCGGGTCAAATTTTTCAAAACGACCAATAGGGGTAAAAAAAGCAAAATTGAAGAAGAAAAATGATGAAGACACTACTGATTTGCTTAAGTCAGTTAAGAGCGACAATGAGCAACTTATAGAGATGTTGAAGAAATCATAGTTAGATCGACAGGAACAATTGCAAATCCAGCGACAAAATATGGCACACAAAGAACAAAAAAGAGAAGATAAAATTATGTTCATGGATTTGAATTCTATTCACGATCCACAAACGCGAGCGTATATCATTGCAGAAAGATCAAGAATTTTACAAAAAAAAAAAATCTCAAGAAGGAGGATCATCACCTAAATTAGTATGTACTAAGTATGTTTTTAATTATGTTTTAATTTTTATTATAATGGTGTTATTAATTGTAATTTTAATTATGTTATTTTCTTAAGTACCATTTGTTTTCTGTCATTATGTTGTTTGGATTTGAAACTTTATTTATAATATTGTGTTATTTAAATGTTATTATATTTTTTTTTATCAAATTAATAGTTTTTATTGTTGTTGTATAAGGATGTTTTTACTTGGACTGTAATTTGTTTCAGATCAGATCAGACCGGACTAGACCAAACTTGGGTAGTTATAAAAATACAAAGAAATCAGACCAGACCACATCAATTCAGACCAGACCGGACCAACAAATTTCGGTCCAAGTAAAACATCCTAATTTGTTGTTTTAAAAATGGGTCAAAACTATAATAATCAAAACTTTGGGTCACATTTGAAAGAAAAAAAATTACAAAAAGTGAATGGTGCCACAAATGGCGTACGCCATATATGGCGTAAAGCCATCCCCTCCCCCATTTTGGTGTAATGGTGTAAAGTTTGGTGTCATTGTTGGAGCATTTTTTGCCAAATACACCATTTTGGTGTTGAAGATGGTGCTTGTTGGAGATAGCCTTATTCTTGGGTATTGATGTCTATTTTTCAAGATATACAATTCAGAAAATAAAACCCCATAAGAGGGTTATAAAAATACAAAGAAATCAGACCAGGCCACATCAATTCAGACCACACCGGACCAACAAATTTCGGTCCAAGTAAAACATCCTAATTTGTTGTTTTAAAAATGGGTCAAAACTATAATAATCAAAACTTTGGGTCACATTTGAAAGAAAAAAAATTACAAAAAGTGAATGGTGCCACAAATGGCGTACGCCATATATGGCGTAAAGCCATCCCCCCTCCCCCATTTTGGTGTAATGGTGTAAAGTTTGGTGTCATTGTTGGAGCATTTTTTTGCCAAATACTCCATTTTGGTGTTGAAGATGGTGCTTGTTGGAGATGGCCTTATTCTTGGGTATTGATGTCTATTTTTCAAGATATACAATTCAGAAAATAAAACCCCATAAGAGGTGATGGGTTATGTTAAAGACATACATGCCCTCCATTAACACACGCTTTAAAATATGGGAGATAGAAGCGGATACTACACGCGAAGAAGTGGACCACATATTTCAGCGCCATTAATTTAATTTGACGTCCATTTACTATGATTAGTTTATGACAGTCTTTTAGGAGGTGCATTGGGTGCTTAACACATGGGCTCACTTTTATGTGGGCCCCAAATTATTATGTAGTACCCTAAGCTACGTAATGTTTTTTACAAATGGTGAAATGAAGTATTTCTCATATTACAACCTTACAAAAGTAACTAGCTACCGGAATAAAAGCATGTTATAAGTAACTAGCTACCGGAATAAAAGCATGTTACAAGAGTAAATTTCAAAATAAGACTGTCATATTTATATTTTCTAAATAGTTTTGTCATATTTTTATTTCCTAAATTCCAAATTTGGAAAATATTTTTCATGTTTAAAGTGTAGTAATTCCAAAACATGGCAGTAATGATATGTATTTAGGGAATAAAAGCATGGAAGTTCTATTTTGGAATACACCAACGTTTTATTAATCATATGCAAATAAAACGCGTGGAGGGAAATAATATTGATTCTTGTTGGAATAAAAAAACTGGATTAACATAACAAATATGTTTTTTTATGTATTTAGAGAGTAGATATTAGATTTAATTTAGACCAACCAAATGGGAATTATTTGTATATGAAATACTATATCCATACTACCCATGCATGCTAAATCAGTCAATCCTATATGAAATGAATTAGTGCCTTAATTAGTGGCCCCTGATGATGGCATTATGGCATGGGAAATAAAATTGCTTGAGTTGGAATGCGCATACCTTCCATATTAACACAGAGATATCGTACTGCGGTTTGTAATCATAAGTTGAAAACGGGGAAATGCTAGCACCCACTACTATCTCATTGTTTATCTGAATGAACCCAGAACAGAGAAGGTTATAGCAACCTGTGGTTTTGTATGTATCCATCTGCAAATTTTTAGGGTGAAAAAACATGTTAATTAATTTGTTCAGAGTATTTCTATATAAATCGATCTAATAAACTTGTTGTGTAACAATATTCTCATTTCACCATTCTTTTTTATTCATTTCCCCCCTCATTTCACCATTCTTAATACACATGTCATGTTGAATAAGTCTAGCTTTTTTGTGCGTTAGAGTAAAGTTGGTATATAGCTCGTATAGATATATACCAATAGTTTGTTTATACTAATACTGTGATTTTACATCATAATTAAATGTAATAAATGAAATTTAGAAAGTCGTCCATAGCTAGTGAACATACAGTCCAATAAGTGAAGAGTCTTGGGTTGTTATCACCGTAGAGCTCTGGGCGAACCTGTAGAGGCCATCATTGTACATGAGGTCAGTGTTAGCACAAAAAATTAATGTTTTTATGTTTAATTTTCAAGTAATAACTTCTACTCAAATTACGGCATTAAGCATTCAAAGCTAAAAGTTGTGGGTGTTTTAGGCCCCGTTTGGATAGCAGTGGTTTGAGCAATCCGCTGATTGCTTTGAACTGCAAAACGCTGCAATTTGCAGTGGGTAGGCAAGAATCCGTCGAAAACAAACACTGCTTTAGTCTGTTTTTCATTCTTTCTATTATAAAAAACACTTATTTTCCAAGCACTACAAACTTTCACTTTTTGAAAGGTACAAAGTGTTGGGAAAATGTGTGAAAAATTGCATTAAATGGTAATTTTGGGGCAATTTTTTGAGTGGGGTCCACTTCCTATTTGGATCAGGTCAAAGTGATTTCGGATTGTCCTTGTTAAGGGCTACAATTCGATATATGGTACGCTCAAAATGGATAACGGGTGAATGAGAAATCGCTTTTCGAAGTTTACCCGTTAGAATGGAAAAACTGGGAAGAAGGATGGGTTTCTAGTGTGTTAATTTCCCACACCGGAAAACCCAAGGGATTTGCAACCCTTTATAAAGGGACTCCCCCCCTTATGGAGTTAAGATTCCTAAGGGTAAAGGCTCTCTCCACGCGCGCAGGGGGGTGCAAATCAAATCCCGAAATCGGAGAAGAAAAACAGCGACTTGCGTGCCTAGCGTTTAATTTTTGTTTTCTTCCCGAAACGTTTATTTTTCCCCAATGACAGAAGTGCCTAGCGGCAGAAGGGCTCCGGACAGAAGGGCTCGACTAGAACACCTCGGTATGGTGTGCTGGTGGCTCCAGACAGAAACCCTCAACCAGGACACCTCGGTGTATGGTGTTCTGTTGGGAGGTCTTCTGGTCGCGTTCTGAACCGTTACAGCAATAAATGCCCAACGTTCTTATCTTTTAATGCAGCGTTAAATGGACAGTTCATGGACGATTCAATGCCCAACGGACTGGTCATTGATGTGCAACATTCAGGTCCATTAATTCACCATTTACACACAACAAATCCTTCTATATAAAGGCTGGCAGGTGGTTTGCAACAACACACGTTTTCACACGTTCTTGCTTACACGAGCTCACGTATTTCTTCAGCTAAAAACACCTCCAGTCTCTCTGAAAAATTCCTGAGTGTTCAGTCTTTGTTCACGTTCGCTGGAACTCTTGTTTGTGTGCTAAAACATTAGTTCGTAGTCATCGTATCCTGGGAAACTATTGTTGCAACGCTCCTAGCACCGTGGGAGGCAACAAATACGTTTTAAGGACATCGTGCGTAGCACGAGCTTTGACTAATTCTGCTTCATCTCCTTTCTTGTTTTTCTCTAGTCAATTTATTTAATTAATTTATTTTAATTAATTTTCTTTATTTTCCGAAACACACCCACCAATCTTAAAACGTATTTGTTCGATTGTTATACCGAGGTATACAATCTTAAAACATATTTGTTGCTAAGCTTGTATCATACGGATACAATCTTAAAAACGTAGTTTGTCACTTCTGTGAACGAACTTAAACCTTTTTTGTGTTTTCGGAAAAACGTTAAGAAATCGAAAATGACTTCTCAAGAAAACGAGATTGGTGTTGGGCAGAATGTTCTGAACGACAATCACTCTGAAAGTGGAGCTCCGGTGAACAATAGTTCACAACGCGGTGCATCTGCTTTGGCCAACCAAAGGGATATCTGTAACACCCCGATTTTAGCGATCTAGTTACTTTAATCTTTTATTTTATGTAGTCAGTTAAATAAGTTTATTGTATGAATAATGTGACTTATTGTTTGTTTATGTGTTCTGGCAGGTAACGTTGACCGGTAAGCTCTAATAATTATAAGTGGAGAAATAAGTAATGTCTTAAAGCTTAATCTATTTATTTCGAAATAGAAAATACTTTTGATGTGTTAGAATATTATAGAGTAATTAGAAGCCCAATTCAGTTAACTAAGCCCAAGTAAACATGTTTAAGATTGAAATCCCTAAGTAGGGTTCAAACGTGATATTAAAAACCAAAGGCTAGGACCTGCGTCTCTAACCTTCCATCGGCAGCCGTCTCTTCCCCCCGAAAGAGTTTTCATTCCTTTCAATTTGTGATCAAAGTTTTTCTTAGTTCATCAAATCTTAGACCTGGTAAGTCAATTTCCATTCTCTCTTTTTCTATTTATTCGTTTAGGCTTGTTGAAAAGCATGAATTTCTTCAAGATTTGGTTAGTTTCTTTGGTCTGTTTAAGGTTTCTAAAATCTCGAATGTGTAAATTAATCATTCCTTATTTCATAGATTATTGATTCTACACTCATGGCTTTAAATTTGTTTTCCCATCAGTTCTCGGCAAAGCAGTACTATGTGTTACTAGTGGAGTAAAATTTTTAAAAGTGATTTGATGTTTTATGATAACTAAAAATGTTTACAAGGTGGGCTAGAACCCAGGAGCCTAATTGCTAGTGTTATACGAATTTTTAAAGCTTTCGTTTTTCCATATCAGAATTAGTGCGTAGGTTCTGTTAGGTCAAATTGGGAGAATTTTCTATGCCTTGGTTTTAGTGAGGGTTTCAACTTTAGGTTTCAGACGAAGTGTATTAGTTCTGTTCTGAATTTCTTGGAGTAAACTGTTGTGTTTTTATTTTCGAATTGGCAGAATCCAAAATTTGACTGTTTTAAATCAGCTAAGCTATCTACTTTGTATTATCCAAAACATGAGCAGCAATTTAGTCTCATACGGAAGTCTGTTTCAGAGGTTCACTATTGAAATTTTTGGGTTTCACCGGTGCAGCCACACTTTTCCTTTCTTTTGAGTCAGCTTTGAAATTTTTAGTATGTCCTTGAAGCAAATCTGACCGGTAATGGTTCATGAAGAAACTGGAGCTGTCACTAACTCCAGTTAATAGACGATGTCTTACTGATAAATGTAGTATCTGAACAAAGATTTCCCTAACCTGACCTAAGTAGCATCCTGATTAATAAACTAGTCAATTTTTTTGTTCTATGTGACTCGTGTCAGTAGCCAGAGATTTTATGAGCATAATTTTGGTATTTCCAGTAAATAGTAATTAAGCCTCCATAACCCAGTCATGTTTAATCAGTAGCAATTTCTCATTTTATCATTACATTTAATTAAAGATATAAAAGAGGAGCTTGCCGGAAGACGTTATCAGGGTGCCATACTTATTTGAGTAGTTTCAGTTCAGCTAATACAGGTAAGTTCACTACCACCTGTACATGTTTGTTCAACCAAATAAAAGAAAGAAGTCTTGTTGATTTTAATAGATGATTTTAGTCTATTTGCTATTATGTGAACTTGGTGAGTTATTTGCTAAGTTATTTTATTTGGTGTATTAAGTGATGATTATTATCTGGCATAGTCAAGAGTTTGTCAGTATTTTTATTTTCTGAATTAATGATGTTTTTATCCAAACGACACTATAAAAAGAACTAATATTTAAAGTGAAAGATTAAGTGATATGTACCCGGGAACAAGTTCCCACAGAGTAATCAGAGTTTCAGAGTTTCAGAGAGTCCGATACGTTTAGTGGGTCGCTCCCCTGAGCTGTCGGATTGGCGCCTTTGGGTACATATCACGGGCCCACAGAGTAAAATTAGCCACAAAGAGTTTTACAGAAAGTTGTTTTTGAGATCTCTTTTAGAAAGTTTTACAAAGAGTTGTTTTTGAGATCTCTTTCAGAAAGTTTTACAGAAAGATGTTTTTGAGATCTCTTCAGAAAGTTTTACAGAGATGTTTTGAGAAAGAAATTTTGAGATCTCTCCGACAATTTTGAAAAATTATTTTAGAAAATATTTTCCTTTGAGATCTCTCTCAAAATGTAATTGAGAAGTTATGTGTTAGTTGTTTGTTCAGTGCATGCTTATAGCCTAAATTTTATCTATTGATAAATTGGCATAGACTTCTAGATATTTTTGTGGATCCATAGTGACTTACTAAGCGTAAAGCTTATCAGTTTCTTTCTTCGCATGTACAGATACTAAAGGTAAGGCCAAGGCCTAGGAAGGTGATGAGAGAGTGGAACGCGTGCCAAGATGAGTTGACGGGGACGACCTTGGCGGCTTCCAGCTAGCTATTATTATGTCTCATTATTTTAGATATTACTCTAAGGAGTTTATTATTATTATTACTTTTTTTATTTATGGTTTGAAGTTTGAATAAATTCCTGGATCCAGGTGGTTGTCACATTTGCTAGTGATAACTAGAATTTTAATGAGTTTTATTTGGAGTTACATCTTAGGTATATTTGAGATTTTATCAGGGTTATTTCTTAAACAAACGGCCGTTATATTGCAGTTTATTTTTTTTAAAGTAGTATGCTAGAGTAACGATTCCTTTTACCCTGAGAGGGGCGTTACAAGTTTGGTATCAGAGCCCAGGTTGTCCCGTAACTTCATCTGTCACTGTACACGTACTCATCATCTTCCAAGTAAGTATTTTAAGTTAAGTTTTAAATTTCTGTACATGAGTAAGAAGAATTTATTAGATAGAAAGCAGTAGTGAGAATGTTTTATTTTTAGTATTGTGTATGGCACATAAATAAAAGTTTATATTTAGGTGCCTTAAGAAAATGAGGAGAACCCGTGGTAGCAATGCACAAGGGAACAGTAATGAGCAAGGAAACAATCACGAGCAAGATTTGGTAGGTATTGTAGCGCAACTTCAGAGGCAGTTGCAGGAGCAGCAACAGATCATCGACCGTTTGACCGCGAACAATCAAAGGGGCGGAGCTCAAGGAGGAAATGCTGGTAATAATCAAGGCGTGGGAAACGGAGCACCGAGGCGAGAACCCCTAATGATCACTTGGAGGAAGATCAAGCCCGCAGATTTTGAGGGGGGTCCTGACCCTCTAGCTGCTCAGGGATGGCTGAAGACCATTGAAGGCATTGTCAATGGTTTGGAATTGGCAGATAATGACAAGGTTCGATGCGCATCCTATAGCCTCACTATGGATGCTCGAATATGGTGGGAGACGGTCGAAGCAAGGTATAACGTTGCGCAAATGACATGGGAGCAGTTCAAAGAGGAGTTCACCAACCAGTATTTCAATGCTAGTGTCACACGTAAGTACCAGGATGAGCTTCAGAATCTACGTCAGGGAACCATGGATGTAGCAACCTTGGCGGCACAATTTCAGAGACTACTACGTATTTGCCCTACAGCTGCTCCGACAGAGAGGGATAAGGTGAAGTTGTTCCTGAAAGCCCTTAGGAAGGATATAGCAGTTCACTTGGAGAACGGTAACCAGACCCCAGCTACATTAGTTGACTGTGTCCTTATAGCAAGTCAAAAGGAGTACTACCTTTCTACCGATCCAGTGCCCGCTCAGCCGCAACCTGTGCCATCACAGCCACAGAATCAGCCACAGGGATACACGAATAATTCGAAGGATAACAAGAAGAGGAGCTTCAAGGGCAGTAATGGAAAGGGAGCTGGACATCATCAGGGACACCAGAATAAACAGGTGAAGTTTCCGCCGTGTGCTAAATGTGGCCGCAATCATCCCGGCCAATGCAGGTTGGGTTCCAGAGTTTGCTACTCTTGCGGTCTAGAGGGTCACATCTCCAGAGAATGTCCAAGAAAGAATCAGCAAGGCTATCAGTTTGTCCAGACACCAAGAAATTCAGCACCTTCAGCGGTTGTCCATAATATGCAGGCTTATCTAGAAGGACCATCCATCCAGCAAGGACGTCTTGAAGCACCACCAGAGGCCCCGGTTGCTAGAGTGTTCACCATCTCAAAGGAAGAGGCATCTATAAATCCCGGCGTTGTTACAGGTCAAATACTTGTCCTAAACAGATATGCTAATGTGTTATTTGACACAGGAGCCACACATTCATTTGTATCTCTTGATTTCGCTAGATTCTTAGCAACACATCAATATAAGTTAGATTATAAGTTCACCACATCACTTCCGTCAGGAGAGATTATGTTGTCGACGCATTGGTTACGAGCAGTGCCAATGAGCATTTCAGGGAGAGAGTTATTTGTAGATCTGATCGTACTCGACATGAGGGATTATGATGTAATTCTCGGCATGGATTTTCTGCAGAAGTATAGCGCTTCAATTATATGTCGAAAAAGAATTGTTAGTTTTGCGCCTGCAGGGTCTGATCCTTTCTTGTTCCTTGGGGAACCAAAAGGATCAGGGAAGGTGATGATTTCTGCATTGAAAGCAAGGAGACTTATTCGGAGTGGATGTGAAGCTTTCTTAGCTCACATAGTAGACAAGAACTCAGGGGAACTCACCCAGCTTTCTGAAGTTCCAATTGTGATGGGTTACAATGATGTATTCCCCGAAGATCTTTCAGGATTACCACCTAGTAGAGAGATTGAGTTCGAGATTGAGCTGCTGCCCGGTACCGCACCGATATCCAGAGCACCATATCGAATGTCCCCAGCGGAGTTGCAAGAACTCCATAAGCAGTTGCAGGAGTTGCTAGAGAAGGGTTTCATTCGGCCCAGTTACTCACCGTGGGGAGCTCCGGTATTATTCGTGAAGAAGAAGGATGGCACAATGAGGTTGTGCATAGATTACAGAGAGCTCAATAAAGTGACTATCAAGAATAGGTATCCCCTGCCTAGAATTGATGACCTGTTTGACCAGTTGAAGGGAGCAGTGATTTTCTCCAAGATTGACCTTCGTTCAGGGTATCATCAGCTAAGAATCAAAGAAGGAGACATCCCAAAAACAGCTTTCAGGTCGCGGTATGGGCACTATGAATTTGTGGTTATGCCTTTCGGCCTAACTAATGCTCCAGCGGCGTTTATGGATTTGATGAATAGAGTGTTCAGGGAGTTTCTTGACAAGTTTGTCATTGTTTTCATTGATGATATTTTGATCTACTCAAAGTCTAAGGAGGAGCATGAAGAACACTTGAGAGAAGTACTGGAGACACTGAGAAAACATAAGCTATATGCTAAGTTTTCAAAGTGTGAGTTCTGGCTTGACCATGTAGCATTCCTTGGCCACGTAGTTTCAAAGCAGGGAGTTTCGGTGGATCCCTCAAAGGTGGCGGCTGTTCAAGATTGGAGCAGGCCAAAGAATGCGAAAGAAGTTCGAAGTTTCTTAGGCCTTGCGGGGTATTATAGGAAGTTTGTGGAAGGCTTCTCTGCTATAGCTCTTCCATTGACTACCTTGACCCGTAAGGGTAAGAAATTTGAGTGGACTGATCGTTGTGAGAAGAGTTTTCAAGAGTTGAAAAATAGGTTGACTTCTGCACCCGTTTTAGCACTCCCAGAAGGCAAGGAAGGGTTTGTTATCTACACAGACGCATCGAAGACGGGACTTGGAGCAGTTCTTATGCAAAATGAACGTGTTATTGCGTATGCATCTCGGCAACTCAAGGAGTATGAGGCAAATTACCCCACCCATGACTTGGAGTTAGCAGCGGTGATTCATGCCTTGAAGATTTGGAGACATTACTTGTATGGAGTCCAGTGCAAGATCTTCACTGATCATAAAAGTTTAAAATATATATTCACGCAGAAGGACCTCAACATGAGGCAAAGAAGGTGGCTTGAGCTAGTGAAAGACTATGATTGTGAGATTCTTTATCACCCGGGAAAAGCCAACAAGGTAGCAGATGCACTTAGCAGAAAGTCGTCTGCAACATTAATGGTTATGATGGAAATGGATCCAAAGCTGAGAAAGGAAATTGAAGATTTTGAGTTAGAGATTGTAAATGGGCGACTAGCGGCGATGACAATGACTCCGTCAATATTTGAGGACATGGCTATGAAGCAAGAACTTGATCCCGAGTTAGTTAAGTTGAAGGAGTGCGTCAAGGAGGGAAAATGTCCCGATTTCCGTTTGGATGAGAGTGGGAGATTACTACTTCAAAACAGGTTGTGCATTCCAGACATCGAAGGGTTGAGGAAGCAGATTATGAAGGAGGCTCATGACACACCATTCACTATGCATCCTGGTTCGACCAAGATGTACCATGACTTGAAGAAAAACTTTTGGTGGTCTGGGATGAAGAAAGATGTTGCCAAGTTCGTCCAATCTTGTTTGACGTGTCAACAAGTAAAGGCTGAACATCAAAGACCAGGTGGAGAACTTCAGCCTATCCAGATTCCAGAGTGGAAATGGGATGAGATATCCATGGACTTTATTATGGGTTTGCCGAAGACAACGGGAGGTTATGACGCTATATGGGTTATAGTGGACAGATTGACTAAATCTGCTCATTTTATCCCAATTTCAGCAAGTATATCTTTGGAGAAGTTGGCAAAGTTATATATTCAGGAGATTGTGAGACTGCATGGTGTCCCGAAAAGTATTATTTCTGACAGAGATTCCAGATTTACGTCTCACTTCTGGAAGTGTGTACAACAATCTTTGGGCACGAAGTTGAAGTTTAGTACCGCTTTTCATCCTCAGACCGATGGCCAGACAGAGAGAACAAATCAGATCTTGGAAGATATGTTGCGGGCATGCGCGCTAGATTTTCAAGGAGGATGGGCAAAACACCTTAGTCTGGCAGAGTTTGCTTATAATAATAGTTATCAAGCAACTATCGGCATGGCTCCATATGAGGCGTTGTATGGGAGAAGGTGTAGATCTCCCATATCATGGTGTGAAACAGGAGAGAAGAAGATCCTAGAAGAGGAACTGAAAGAGAGGACTGAGTTGATAGATGAGACCTCAGAAGCTATTAAAACTATCCGGCAAAGGATAGAATCCGCCCAGTGCAGACAGAAAAGTTATGCAGATGTTCGGAGGAGGCCTCTAGAGTTCGAAGTGGGGGATTTTGTTTTCGTTAAGATAACCCCGATGAAGGGTGTGATGCGGTTTGGAAAGAAAGGAAAGCTTAGCCCAAGATTCACCGGACCATATGAGATCACTCGACGAGTGGGGAAGGTAGCTTATGAGCTCGCGCTACCTGAAGAGTTTTCTGGCATTCATAATGTCTTCCATGTTTCGATGTTGAGGAAATACTTTGCTGATCCGGAGCATGTTTTGATACCCCCAACAATAGAAGTGCAAAATGATTTGTCTTACGAGGAGAAGCCAGTACAAATTCTTGACCGAGAGGTTAGACGTCTCCGGAATAAAGAGATAGCTCTAGTAAAAGTGTTGTGGCGAAATGACAAAGTTGAAGAAGCTACTTGGGAGGTTGAGGATGACATGAGGCGGCATTATCCTGAGTTGTTCTAAGTTTCGAGGACGAAACTTTTATAAGGTGGGAGGGGTTGTAACACCCCGATTTTAGCGATCTAGTTACTTTAATCTTTTATTTTATGTAGTCAGTTAAATAAGTTTATTGTATGAATAATGTGACTTATTGTTTGTTTATGTGTTCTGGCAGGTAACGTTGACCGGTAAGCTCTAATAATTATAAGTGGAGAAATAAGTAATGTCTTAAAGCTTAATCTATTTATTTCGAAATAGAAAATACTTTTGATGTGTTAGAATATTATAGAGTAATTAGAAGCCCAATTCAGTTAACTAAGCCCAAGTAAACATGTTTAAGATTGAAATCCCTAAGTAGGGTTCAAACGTGATATTAAAAACCAAAGGCTAGGACCTGCGTCTCTAACCTTCCATCGGCAGCCGTCTCTTCCCCCCGAAAGAGTTTTCATTCCTTTCAATTTGTGATCAAAGTTTTTCTTAGTTCATCAAATCTTAGACCTGGTAAGTCAATTTCCATTCTCTCTTTTTCTATTTATTCGTTTAGGCTTGTTGAAAAGCATGAATTTCTTCAAGATTTGGTTAGTTTCTTTGGTCTGTTTAAGGTTTCTAAAATCTCGAATGTGTAAATTAATCATTCCTTATTTCATAGATTATTGATTCTACACTCATGGCTTTAAATTTGTTTTCCCATCAGTTCTCGGCAAAGCAGTACTATGTGTTACTAGTGGAGTAAAATTTTTAAAAGTGATTTGATGTTTTATGATAACTAAAAATGTTTACAAGGTGGGCTAGAACCCAGGAGCCTAATTGCTAGTGTTATACGAATTTTTAAAGCTTTCGTTTTTCCATATCAGAATTAGTGCGTAGGTTCTGTTAGGTCAAATTGGGAGAATTTTCTATGCCTTGGTTTTAGTGAGGGTTTCAACTTTAGGTTTCAGACGAAGTGTATTAGTTCTGTTCTGAATTTCTTGGAGTAAACTGTTGTGTTTTTATTTTCGAATTGGCAGAATCCAAAATTTGACTGTTTTAAATCAGCTAAGCTATCTACTTTGTATTATCCAAAACATGAGCAGCAATTTAGTCTCATACGGAAGTCTGTTTCAGAGGTTCACTATTGAAATTTTTGGGTTTCACCGGTGCAGCCACACTTTTCCTTTCTTTTGAGTCAGCTTTGAAATTTTTAGTATGTCCTTGAAGCAAATCTGACCGGTAATGGTTCATGAAGAAACTGGAGCTGTCACTAACTCCAGTTAATAGACGATGTCTTACTGATAAATGTAGTATCTGAACAAAGATTTCCCTAACCTGACCTAAGTAGCATCCTGATTAATAAACTAGTCAATTTTTTTGTTCTATGTGACTCGTGTCAGTAGCCAGAGATTTTATGAGCATAATTTTGGTATTTCCAGTAAATAGTAATTAAGCCTCCATAACCCAGTCATGTTTAATCAGTAGCAATTTCTCATTTTATCATTACATTTAATTAAAGATATAAAAGAGGAGCTTGCCGGAAGACGTTATCAGGGTGCCATACTTATTTGAGTAGTTTCAGTTCAGCTAATACAGGTAAGTTCACTACCACCTGTACATGTTTGTTCAACCAAATAAAAGAAAGAAGTCTTGTTGATTTTAATAGATGATTTTAGTCTATTTGCTATTATGTGAACTTGGTGAGTTATTTGCTAAGTTATTTTATTTGGTGTATTAAGTGATGATTATTATCTGGCATAGTCAAGAGTTTGTCAGTATTTTTATTTTCTGAATTAATGATGTTTTTATCCAAACGACACTATAAAAAGAACTAATATTTAAAGTGAAAGATTAAGTGATATGTACCCGGGAACAAGTTCCCACAGAGTAATCAGAGTTTCAGAGTTTCAGAGAGTCCGATACGTTTAGTGGGTCGCTCCCCTGAGCTGTCGGATTGGCGCCTTTGGGTACATATCACGGGCCCACAGAGTAAAATTAGCCACAAAGAGTTTTACAGAAAGTTGTTTTTGAGATCTCTTTTAGAAAGTTTTACAAAGAGTTGTTTTTGAGATCTCTTTCAGAAAGTTTTACAGAAAGATGTTTTTGAGATCTCTTCAGAAAGTTTTACAGAGATGTTTTGAGAAAGAAATTTTGAGATCTCTCCGACAATTTTGAAAAATTATTTTAGAAAATATTTTCCTTTGAGATCTCTCTCAAAATGTAATTGAGAAGTTATGTGTTAGTTGTTTGTTCAGTGCATGCTTATAGCCTAAATTTTATCTATTGATAAATTGGCATAGACTTCTAGATATTTTTGTGGATCCATAGTGACTTACTAAGCGTAAAGCTTATCAGTTTCTTTCTTCGCATGTACAGATACTAAAGGTAAGGCCAAGGCCTAGGAAGGTGATGAGAGAGTGGAACGCGTGCCAAGATGAGTTGACGGGGACGACCTTGGCGGCTTCCAGCTAGCTATTATTATGTCTCATTATTTTAGATATTACTCTAAGGAGTTTATTATTATTATTACTTTTTTTATTTATGGTTTGAAGTTTGAATAAATTCCTGGATCCAGGTGGTTGTCACATTTGCTAGTGATAACTAGAATTTTAATGAGTTTTATTTGGAGTTACATCTTAGGTATATTTGAGATTTTATCAGGGTTATTTCTTAAACAAACGGCCGTTATATTGCAGTTTATTTTTTTTAAAGTAGTATGCTAGAGTAACGATTCCTTTTACCCTGAGAGGGGCGTTACAATATCCCTATGGTGACCGTGCCAAGCAACTCTGTGGAGAAACCCGAGAAATTCAATGGGTTAAACTTCAAGAGGTGGCAACAAAAGATGCTATTTTATCTCACTACTCTCGGTCTTGCACGTTTCTTGACCGAGGAAGCTCCGGTTGTGACCGGGAGTGGGGTAGATGTGCAATCTCTCAATGCGGTTGAGGCATGGAAGCATTCTGACTTCCTATGCCGAAACTATGTGTTGAATGGGCTGCACGATGCTTTGTATGACGTTTATAGCAAATTAGATACGGCTAAGGAGCTATGGAATGCTTTGGACCACAAATATAAAAGCGAGGATGCCGGCGCAAAGAAATTTGTTGTTGGTCGATTCCTTGATTTTAAAATGGTGGATTCGAAGACGGTCTTGAGTCAAGTTGAGGAGATGCAAATGATCTTCAACAAAATTCGAGATGAAGGAATGACATTTAGTGAGTCGTTCCAAGTGGCGTCAATTATTCATTTGTTGCCGCCGGCTTGAAAGGATTTCAAGAACTACCTTAAGCATAAGCGAAAGGAAATGAACTTGGAGCAATTGATCCTCCGTCTGCAGATTGAAGAGGATAACCGGTGCAACCCGGCACATTTGCTCTAACCGGGAGTTATTCACAACTTTTGAGCCATCAAATGGTGAGAAGGTGTGGATGGGAAACTCGGCTCATTCCGCGGTGGAAGGCGTGGGCAAGGTGGTCCTGAAGATGACTTCGGGCAAGGAGCCGACTCTTAACCAAGTGCTGTTCGTTCCGGAGATACGCAAAAACCTGATTTCCGGTTCGTTGTTGAACAAGCATGGCTTTCGTATGGTTTTTGAGTCGGACAAATTAGTTTCGTCCAAGTCGGGAATGTATGTGGGCAAGGGGTATGCATGTGATGGGCTGTTTAAGCTCAATGTAATGACTATTATTAAAAATAATAATAAAGTCTCTTCTGCTTATTTGCTTGAGTCTTCCAATGTGTGGCATGGTAGACTAGGACGTGTTAATTTTAATTCTACACGTAGATTAATTAACATGGAACACATTCCTAAATTCAAAATTGATGTGAAGCACAAATGTGATATTTGTGTTGAGGCAAAACTAACGAAAACGTCTTTCAAATTGGTTGAAAGAAAAACGGAACCACTAGAATTAATTCATAGTGACGTTTGTGATTTTAAATCAATACAAACACGTGGCGGCAATAAATATTTTATTACTTTTATCGATGATAGCACTCGCTATAGCTATGTTTATTTATTGAAAAATAAACACGAAGCAATCGATAAATTCATTCTTTATAAGAATGAAGTGGAAAACCAACTTAATCGACGGATTAAAACGGTTAGGAGTGATCGAGGTGGTGAGTATGAAGCACCAATTGGTGACTTTTGCGCAAACTTGAGTATAGTACACGAACGTACCGCACCCTATTCACCTCAATCAAACGGTGTTGCCGAACGAAAGAATCGCACATTGAAAGATATGATGAATGCGATGCTAGTAAGTTCGGGCCTGCCACAAAATATGTGGGGCGAAGCAATCTTGACAAGCAATTACCTTTTAAATAAGGTTCCCCGGAAAAAATATGATAAAACTCCGTACGAGTTGTGGAAAGGCAGACGGCCTTCCTATCAATATTTAAAAGTGTGGGGGTGTCTTGCTAAGGTGCTTGTACCAACACCTAAGAAAATAAAAATAGGTCCAAAAATGGTGGATTGTATTTTTATTGGATATGCACAAAATAGTAGTGCTTATCGGTTTTTAGTGTATGATTCGAATAATCCGGATGTACATAAAAACACAATAATTGAGTCAAGGAATGCATCATTCTTTGAATACGTATTTCCATGCAAGTCCAACGATGGACCTAGCACGTCAAAACGAACGTTTGACGTAGCTATGGAAAATACTAGCGAGGGATCCGGTGAAGAACCCGAACCCCGACGTAGCAAACGTGCTAGAGTTGAAAAATCCTTTGGACCGGATTTTCTCACATACTTGGTACAATTCGATTCGAATATTCTAACTTGTATGGTAGAAAATGAACCGGATTTTCTAACATGTTTGGTAGAAAAAGAGCCACGGACTTATACGGAAGCCGTAACGTCTACCGAAGGACCAATGTGGAAAGAAGCCATCAAAAGTGAGGTGGACTCTATCCTAAAAAATCACACATGGGAATTGGTTGATCTCCCTCCGGGATGTAAACCTTTGGGATCCAAGTGGATTTTTAAACGTAAAATGAAACCGGACGGTTCCATTTATAAGTATAAGGCCAGACTTGTAATAAAGAGATACAAGCAACGTGAAGGCCATGATTACTTTGACACGTATTCTCCGGTGACGAGAATAAATTCCATTAGGATGATACTGGCAATTGCCGCTTTGCGGAATTTGGAAGTTCATCAAATGGACGTAAAAACCGCTTTTCTAAACGGCGATATAGACGAAGAAATCTATATGGAACAACCTGAGGGTTTTCGTGTTCCAGGCCAAGAAAAGAAGGTTTGTAAATTAATTAAATCATTGTACGGATTGAAGCAAGCCCCTAAACAGTGGCACGAAAAGTTCGATCATGCAATGTTAATTAATGGGTTTAAAATAAACGAAAGTGACAAATGCGTCTATGTGAAAAGCACGGTAGACGGCTATGTCATTTTATGTTTATACGTGGATGATATACTCATCGTGGGTAGCAATAATATAATGATTAATTCTACCAAAAGCATGTTAAATTCTAAATTTGACATGAAGGATATGGGGCTGGCCGATTTAATCCTTGGGATCAAAATAATTAGAGGACCTGACGGTCTGACGCTAAGCCAATCCCATTACGTGGATAAAATCCTTACTAAATTTAATAAGGATGATTATCAAGAGGCAAGGGCGCCAGTAGATAAAAACGTACATCTGACCAAAAATCGTGGAGAGTCTATTTCTCAAGTAGAATATGCTAGGATTATTGGCAGTTTAATGTATCTAATGAGTTGTACCAGGCTTGATATTGCCTTTGTGGTTAGTAAGCTTAGTAGATATACTAGCAACCCCGGTGATGAACACTGGAAGGCAATAGTAAGGGTTTTGAGGTATTTACGAAAAACCCAAAACCTTGGACTGCACTATGGACGATATCCGGCTGTACTTGAAGGGTATAGCGACGCTAGTTGGATATCGGACATTAAGGACTCAAAGTCCACAAGTGGATATGTTTTCACTTTGGGAGGTGCAGCCGTGTCGTGGAAATCCTCGAAACAAACGTTAATAGCTAGATATACGATGGAATCTGAGCTAATAGCCTTGGATAAGTGCACTGAAGAGGCTGAATGGCTACACCATTTTCTCGAGGATATTCCAAGTTGGGAGAAGCCTGTCCCTCCAATATGCATACATTGCTATTGTCAAGCGGCAATTGGAAGGGCACAGAGCAATCTCTATAATGGTAAGTCTAGACACGTTCGTCGTAGACATAACACCATTAAACAACTCCTCACAACGAGTGTTATCACTGTTGACTACGTGAAGTCAAAGGATAGCATAGCGGATCCGCTAACCAAGGCATTGGATAGAGAATTGTTGGAGAAGTTGTCACGAGGAATGGGACTAAATCCCGTGAGTTGAAAAGTTCTATAGTGGATACCCAACCTAGTTGGTCCTAGGTTCAAATGGGACAACTAAATTATAGAGCGAAGGATGGTCACTGTGGGGGTCCCGCACTCCTACCCACTCCTCGTTGAAACAGTGACTCCCGCACGAGGTTAGCAAAAACGTTTGCTTTAATGATTCTAAAATGTTGATCTACTCGATAACATTGGAAGAGTATGCGGGATACTCGTGAAAGAATCACCTATGTGAGAGAGAAGAGGGCCGCTTCAAAGGAGAACTGTAAAGGCTCAGTTCTTTAGAAACTCTAGCAGAACCAGGACGGTGACCCATGGCCAAAACGGGCACACCCATGAGAACGGAACAAAGTTGGAAGGTTCTTGTGTAAAGATAAGTCAATGTTTACACGACGGCAGTATAGTTCAAGGACATCAAGTCTACTAGACAGCCAGTAAATAAACGTGTCTTTACAGCGGAAGGTTCAAAGGATTAAACCTACCTCTCCGTATGCAAGGATCATCCGGTGAACACAACGTGTCCTCCTATCTTCGTGTCTTTTTAAGTCTCGAAAATCAATTTTCATTCATGTGGGGGATTGTTGGAAAAATGTGTGAAAAGTTGCATTAAATGGTAATTTTGGGGCAATTTTTTGAGTGGGATCCACTTCCGATTTGGGTCGGGTCAAAGTGGTTTCGGATTTTCCTTGTTAAGGGATACAATTCGATATATGGTATGCTCAAAACGGAAAACGGGTGAATGAGAAATCGCTTTTCGAAGTTTACCCGTTAGAATGGAAAAATTGGGAAAAAGTATGAGTTTCTAGTGTGTTAATTTCCCACACCGGAAAACCCAAGGGATTTGCAACCCTTTATAAAGGGACTCCCCCTTATGGAGTTAAGATTCCTAAGGGTAAAGGCTCTCTCCACGCGCGCAGGGGGGGTTCAAATCAAATCCCGAAATCGGAGAAGAAAAACAGCGACTTGCGTGCGCGGGCAACCTGCGGACACGAATGTCGTCCAAAAATCTATCTCTCAAGAGATACAGTTAATTTTTGTTTTCTTCCTGAAATGTTTATTTTTTCCCAATGACAGAAGTGCCTAGCGGTAGAAGGGCTCCGGACAGAAGGGCTCGACCAGAACACCTCGGTATGGTGTTCTGGTGGCTCCGGACAGAAACCCTCGACCAGGACACCTCGGTGTATGGTGTTCTGTTGGGAGGTCTTCTGGTCACGTTCTGAACCGTTACAGCAATAAATGCCCAACGTTCTTATCTTTTAATGCAGCGTTAAATGGATAGTTCATGGACGATTCAATGCCCAACGGACTGGTCATTGATGTCCAACGTTCAGGTCCATTAATTCACCATTTACACACAACAAATCCTCCTATATAAAGGTTGGCAGGTGGTTTGCAACAACACACGTTTTCACACGTTCTTTCTTACACGAGCTCACGTATTTCTTCAGCTAAAAACACCTCCAGTCTCTCTGAAAAATTCCTGAGTGTTCAGTCTTTGTTCACGTTCGCTGGAACTCTTGTTTGTGTGCTAAAACATTAGTTCGTAGTCATCGTATCCTGGGAAACTATTGTTGCAATGCTCCTAGCACCGTGGGAGGCAACAAATACGTTTTAAGGACATCGTGCGTAGCACGAGCTTTGACTAATTCTGTTTCATCTCGTTTCTTGTTTTTCTCTAGTCAATTTATTTAATTAATTTATTTTAATTAATTTTCTTTATTTTCCGAAACACACCCAACACAAAGCACTTTTTGCAAATATTACTAACTTTTACTATTTGTTCTATTGACATTCGGACAAGAGAGAGTGCAGTGGTGTTACTAGAAAAAGTGGAATTGTATGGTTGATATTGAATTGATAAAATGTAAAGTAACAACAAATTGTAATCATCAAAATATTACTCGGTATCAAATATAGTATAAACAAACTCAGTAGGACATAAAAAGTTAAAATGGGACAAATATGAGGAGACAAAGTGGACAATACTAAACACTTTCTCTAAAGTCGTCACTAAAAATCATTTTTTTAAGCAGAAGGAATCACAAACATTTATTAAATTTCTTCTCGTACTTAAGAAGATATCAATATAATACTACGTACTAAAAATAATTTGAATGAGATGACTAATGAGTATATAACCAAAGCATACGTACATGCCAACCAGCTTCAATGCTTTCAAGGCGTCCATTTAACGAGCCACCCAATATCCACATCTGCGACGAGCTAAACTCGTTAGGCTCAACATGTGGTTCCCAAACATTAATAGTTACTTTTGATCCATGATACTTGTCGCTCTTCGCGTCCCCAACATATGCTATTGCATGCTGCACATACCCACCCAGTACATATGGCATCAAAGTTAGATTTTAACATAAGAGGATTAATAGTACTATTCATATCAATAATGTGCATCTCCTTTAAGTGCATTTGCTAAGAACTCCAAGTTAAACGTGCTTACAAAGTGCGCAAAAAAGGCTCTATCTTAAGACTTTGTTTCTACAGTTATACATATATGGTGAGAGATTAATTGACTTTTCTATCCGGATATTGTACAACATGCTACAAAGTCCATGTGAATGACATGTAAGTGTCTAGTAAGTTCAAATAATTGTGACTCACTGACTTGTGATGCGTAAAATGTGTAAATGTACGGTGCCTTAACAATTATTAGTACTTCCTTAATTTTATTACCTTAACTCTTAAATGAAGCAAATCAGTATCATAACTATATATAAATATTTCAACCAACATTTGGAATTTCATTTTTACCTCATAACGTGCACCTCTAGACCCGTCGTTGGGGTCATCTTCGAGCTTGATCGGAAAGCTACCGTGCTTCTTCATCCCATACATTTTCACCAAACTTCCACCCCTTAAAACATCCTCTTCTTTTGTTCTCCTTATAGGAATAGTGCCCAAAGGGCACTTCCCATTCTTATGCCACAACTGACTCACTATTGTTTTTGTATCATTTGTCACTTCTTTATTAGCGTAGACTCTTGTTGACTCTTTGTTTGCATCGAATTGCCCCTCAGCCGGATGGTAGCTTGGCCTCATCTAATGATGCATGATGTTCAAGTCATGTACCCGCCATTTTCATAAACAAAACCAATTAGATCGCACTTTTCAGATATAATCCATCTGTCTCACTCAACATTGTATACTTTGATTTGAATGTGGAATAAGAAAAGTAAAAATTGTGTGATTGACATTTGTACAGAGAAAAGAGAAATAAAAAAAACACAAATTCAATACTGTAAAAGAAAAGTGGCAAAAATTTGTAGACATAAATAGAAAATTGTCAAAATCCGGGATGAAGTATATAAGAATAAGGATGCATGTAACATGGGTAGGAAAAGATGGAAGAAAGGACCTTTATTTTTTGGTCTTTCAGTAGTGGGTGATCAAAAGCAGGCTGTTTTGATATGTGCACACAATCGATGATATCTCCATCTGGACTCTGTTCATCGGTGCATAGTCATTACTCGTTAGAACTTAAAAAATATTAGAGTTATTTGGTATCCATCTCTGCTTCAATTCTCGATTATCTTATTAGTTCATTTAGGGATATATATTGTCCTAATTATAAAAATTAAGCCTTGAAATTTGTGCACAATTTTAACGTACGACGTTTTAAAAAAATCTCTTCGTGATAACATTAAAATACAAAAGGATGTTCAATGACAAATGAGCTTTCCCAAAAAATGACAAATGAGCTTTCCCAAAAAATGACAAATGAGCTTTAGTAGACTAGTGTATATATAAACAATATTTTCAAAATCTTAGATTTCTAAACTATGTATATAATTGTACGAGACTATAGTTTGTTATTTCTGTGCAAATATTATTGTATTTAATTCTTTCCTTATTATTTAATCAGGCTCCTATTGTATCTACGGAATGTAGTTATTTTAGGCTAAGTCTTAGGCCTTGTAGTTACCATATTTTTACCTTCTTGAGCTTGTATATATACGGACCTCTGTATTACGATTCATATGAAGAATATACTACTTTGATATTATTTCCTTTCTATTCTTCTGCGCTATTACTCTGCGCTAATATGGTATCAGAGCCGGCATCTTGATCCTACGCCGTGCGACTGAATATTGCGATTAAACAACCACGATGACGAATCCACAATCGTCGGAAGCACCAAAAAAAGAACGCAGGAGAATCAATGACCCTGGTTCTCCATATTACCTCCATAGCTCCGATATACCGGGCGTGAACATTTGTGGCATCACGCTCCGGGGAGAAGAGAATTACCGCGAATGGTCAATTGCCATGCGAAATGCGTTTCGGGCCAAGTGGAAGCTTGGTTTTCTTGATGGCTCCATCACCATACCAGAAGATAAAGCTGGGATAGAGGATTGGTACACAGTGAACTCGATGGCGGTGGGATGGCTTATGTCATCGATTGAACCCAACCTTCGTCATACCATTGCATACTTGGACACAGTCCAAGATTTGTGGAAGGATCTGCAGACTCGCTTTGAAGCGGGAGACGACATGAGGTTTCACGAATTGAAACAGGCTCTCCAAGAGTGTAAACAAGGTGGCGATAACGTCACAATGTATTTCGGAAGGCTGAAAACCATATGGGACGACTATGACGGGTATAGAAAAATCCCAAAGTGTACCTGCGGAGGATGCAAGTGTAACCTAGAAAAACAATTTCTGGAAAGTGTTGAGAAGGAAAAGATTCATGAGTTTCTTCTGGGGCTGGATGGTAGAGTTTATGGGACACTGCGTTCCAACCTTCTGAGTACGACTGAACTCCCAACACTTAATAAAGTGTATAACATCATTCTCCAAGAAGAGAGGCTTCAAAAGGTTACTCGAGGACAAGCAGATGTACAAGAAGCAGCGGCCTTTGCAATGCGAACGGGCGGCAAGTGGCAGTCAACTCCGGCGAAGGACAAGAGTAAGCTAATGTGCTCGTATTGCAAGAAGGGGGGACATGAACGAGATAGCTACTTCAAACTCACGGGTCAGTATCCGGAGTGGTGGAAAGGAAACAAAGGCGGAAATGGAAAAGAAAAAATTGGGTCGTTGACAAAGGAGGGTGGACGTCGCACACCTGGAGTCCAGGCAAATGCTGTTGGCACAATTCCAGAGGGTGAAGGAAGCTCACATCCGGATCCCAAGGAGTTCCCAACTTTCACGGTAGACCAATGGAACTCACTGTTGGAGTTCATGAAAAAATATAAGGCAGGTGATAACCTTGAGAAACTGTCAGGTACGACTCGTTTTAAATGGCTTCTTGATACAGGGGCATCATACCATATGACGGGAGATAAAAATATGATGTGTGACTTAAGTGTTGTAAATTCTGTATCTGTGACCCTACCGAATGGAAATGTAACTTTTGCAAGTCATATTGGACGTGTGAAGTTAGGGGGAGGAGTGAATCTTGAAAGAGTACTTTTGGTCCCAAATCTGACGTGCCATTTGATTTCAGTCGGAAGACTTATTGATGATTTTTCATGTCATGTAATATTTACTGACAAGTTTTGTGTGATACAGGACCCCACTTTGAAGACGCTGATTGGAGTGGGTGAACGTCATGGGGGGGTCTATTATCTGTGTGGAGTGGGATCTGTGCAGGCCTCACATGTGACTAGCGAAGATTCAGAAGATTTATGGCATAAACGCATGGGTCATCCTTCACGACGGGTGATACGATTGCTTTCTATGTGTCGTAATAATCTTGGGAATGATACTGTTTTTATTAAGAATTGTGATATATGTGCTCGTGCTAAACAGACACGCGAAATATTTCCTTCTAGTTTGAACCGTGCTTTACATATTTTTGATCTCATTCATTGTGATGTATGGGGTCCTTATCGCGAACCTAGCACGTGTGGCGCTTATTATTTTCTTACTATTGTGGATGATTATTCGCGTGCAGTATGGGTTCATCTGATGGCAGGAAAGATGGAAGTGACTAAAATTATGGAACATTTTTTTTCAATGGTTAAAAATCAGTTTCAAACCACAGTTAAAGTTGTTCGGGCTGACAATGGAACTGAGTTTTTACCGATGAAAAATTATTTCCTTGATAATGGAATTTTGTTCCAAACATCATGTGTTGGGACGCCTCAGCAAAATGGGAGAGTTGAAAGAAAACATCGTCATATTCTTAATGTGGCTCGTGCTTTGCGGTTTCAGGCTAATCTACCCATTCGATATTGGGGAGAGTGTGTGTTAACTGCTTGCTATTTGATTAATAGAACACCGTCTATGGTGAATAATGGTAAAACTCCTTTTGAATGTTTGTATGGGACCGTGCCATCCTATGATCATATTAAAATGTTTGGTTGTTTGTGTTATGCTCATTGCAAAAGTTCTGATAAATTTGAGCAAAGAAGTAGAAAATGTGTTTTTTTGGGGTATTCTTATACTCAACGAGGATGGAAAGTGATGGAGTTGGAATCACAAAAACAATTTATTTCGAGGGATGTACGTTTTGATGAATCCCAATTTCCTTTTAGTGCAAACTTGGCTTCTCTATCTCATGATCCAGATGATAATGTTCCTGTGCATCCACCACGTATTACGGATTGTTGGGATATATTATCCCGGCCTATTACTGTTCATGAGTCCAAGGCTTTACGTAGTACGGAGCCCGAGCAGCTAGGCCCATTTCGGCCCATCCGGCCCACTTTAGCCATTTGGGCCCACTCTGGCCCGTTTGGCCCATTAGGGTGGAGAGCCCCTTCTCCCCTTCCCCTATTTATAGGAGGTTTTCCCTCCATGTAAGGGGGTTCCTTCTTCCTTCTCCCTCTAGAATAGCTCAAATACTCCATGAATGGAGCTCAAAATGTACTATGTAATGGTGAGGAGAGCCTAATGAGAATTGAGAGGGCTTGGACATTAGCCTAAAAAGTCCCGTGGTTTTCTCCCTTTCGGGTTTCCACGTAAAAACTGAGTTGTTCATACACATTTATACATATATTTACTATATCGTGTTGGATTAAACTCAACACTGGCGCCGTCTGTGGGAATCAGTTCGAAAAGTTTAGCGTGTTCTTGATTTTTCTACGAAAAATCTGAGACGGGAGAACTGATTTTCAACAAAAAAAAAATTGATACGAAAAAGCTACTGATTTGAAGAAAAAGAAAGGAGGTTGGAAACGCCCAGATCTGAAAAGAATCGGAAGAAGCCACCAGAGCCTAACCAGCCCGGCGGCGACGCTGCACCGAGCCGGAGGTGGAGTACGAACTCCGGCCTGCCTCAAATTTCATCACCCTAGTTGCGGCTCTTTCATCAGGCCAGAGCACCGGCGAGCGTCGTAGCAGTGGACTCATCCACCTCGCCGGTTAGTATGGCTTTTCTCTGCTTCCGTTGCAGCTCAACCTCGAGCCAGGGGTGTTTCCGCCATTAATGGCGGTTGGGAGCTTAGAATAGTGTGTATATCGAAGTCCAGCTGATTTTCCACCGGAGACAAGCTTTTCGGGCCGCCCTTGCTCCGCTGCAGCAGCCATCTCCACCGTCGCTGAGCTGCACATACTAACCGCTCTGGGTCGGTGAGCTTGTAAGCAGATCCTTCAACAATCTATCCAAAAGATACGGAGCACTACGTGCCAGTCAAATACCTTGGTTCTCATAAGGCCACGTTCGAAGGACGAATGGTAGCAAACGAGTAAAGCTGGAGTACTTTTGACCAAAGTCAAAAGTTGGCAAGGCTGACTCCACAAATCCTGATGGCCGAAGCTCCCATCTCCAAGAAGCTAAGTACCTATAACTTCTAAATTGGTACATTAATTATTAAATGTTTAAAATGTTAGAAGCATGGCTACTATTATTCTTTATCACCATTATTTATTAGGGAATAAAATCTCCCGAAATTAAATAATGTCGAGCGATGCTCTAGTGATAATTAATTCCACCATCATTTTAATTAATGACTGGTTGTATGTGCTGTCGGCCCGCTCCTGATCGGCTTTAATTAGCGAACGGAGTATACTTGAATGGCCTTTGATAGGGAAGTATCATTGCTATTGCCGGTTATGTCACTATTATTTATTAGGGATAAAATGTCCCGAATTAAATAATGCTGAGCGAGGCTCAAGTGATGGTTAGTTCAGCTAACATTTTATTAAGTATTTGATTTCTTGTGGGCCTGATGGCCCACTCTCGATCAGCTTGATTAAGCGGTCTGAGCGTCTCCAAAAGGGCGACGCCCCGACGACGCATTTTAATTTGAGGGTTGCACGTTAGTCTGCACGGCACTACGTGCCCGATCGACGATCGTACCCCAGTATCATCTACGCCATTAGGCGCGAAGTGACTATTGCCAGACGCGGCCTGTGGGGCCCCGAGGGCACCAAAGCGCTCGGCCTCGTGTTTCCGAGGGCGGTGCGACCAACTTGGGTCTGAGTTTGAAAACTCACAGACCGATGAATATCTCTATGTGACGTTCGGCGGGCTGCTAATTGGCCCCGCCGCGAGCTGCTACGTCCATTAACCCCGCACGATGAGCCGGGCCGAAGGTCACGATAACCCATAGGCCGGTAATCGTGGATATTAGAAAGAAAGCCATGCAGATGATTGCGTGTGTATACATATTGTCGGGACGTGCGGCCCGTTACCATGCTTATTGCGCAGCTGAAGCCGCTCGACGCGCTCGAGTGAAATGATTAGAAGACGCTCGGCCCGAGTCTTGAATACGTGCAGGGCCGGCTAAAGAGGAGAGCATCACGGCTGAGGACCGTGAGACGAGCATCTCCACCTAGGGGCTGAGGGCCTAGAGGAGACCACCACGGTTGAGAACCGTGGGACGAGCATCTCCACCCCAGAGACCGATGGCCTAGGAAGAACACCTAGAGGCCGAGGATCTAGAGGCGAATGCCATGACAGAGAATCGTGAGACGATCATCCATCATCCAGAGGCCGAGGGCCAAGAGGAAACCATCACGGCTGAGAGCCGTGATACGAGCATCTCCACACCAGGAGCCGGTGGCCTAGAGGAGACCACTACGGCCGAGGGTCGGGGGACCATCCTTACATCACGACCGACCTCGCGGTACGGCGTATTTATCACCTGAAGACCGGTATCATCCCCGCGCTGCGCGGATGAGAGCCGTTGCACGGATACACTTGATCGGCCTCTCATTGCCGACATCATTATACCACGACCGGCCTCTCGGCTCGGCGTGCCTATCTTTTGAAGACCGGCCTCGTCCCCGCCCTCGCGGACGAGGACCGTTGCTTGATTTGTGGGATCGGCCTCTCATTGCCGACACTGTCATATCACGTTCGGCCCCCCGGCCTGGCGTGATTATCATCTTTGAAGACCGGCCTCGTCCCCGCCCTCGCGGACGAGGACCGTTGCTTGATTTTCTCAGATCGGCCGCTCATTGCCGACACTGTCATATCATGTTCGCCCCCCCGGCCTGGAGTGATTATCATCTTTGAAGACCGGCCTCGTCCCCGCCACCCCGCGGACGAGGACCGTTGTTTGATTCTTTTAGATCGGCCGCTCATTGCCGACACCATTATACCACGACCGGCCCCTCGGCTTGGCGTGCTTATCTTTTGAAGACCGGCCTTGTCCCCGCCCCTCGCGGACGAGGACCATTGCTTGATTCTTTCAGGTCGGCCTCTGACTGCCGACACTATCATGTTATGATCGGCCTCTCGGCACGACATATTTATCTTTTGAAGACCGGTTTCATCCCCGCGCTGCGTGGATGAGAGCCGTTGCTTGGATATATCGGCCTGATCGGACACTATTTTCATCTCCTTATCAGGACCGACTGCTCAGCGACATGATGATCATTATCGGCTCCCAACGCCGACCTTCTTGGGTTAGCGATCGGGCTCACCCCTCCCTTCGGGAGGGTGACCATCGCCTTCGCATGACGACCAACATTTCCATCGCCTCGTCATTCTGTTCATTTTGATATCCCACCACCATTATGTGTGACATCACGTGTGGTCATTCTTAGAACCGACGAACGTATTTTCCTCCCTCAAAAAAAAAAAAGAGAGAGAGAGAGAGAGAGAGAGAGAGAGAGAGAGAGAGAGAGAGAGAGAGAGAGAGAGAGAGAGAGAGAGATAAAAAAGATGGGGAGAAGGGGAGAGAGAAGCTCCTATGAGAGAGGGAGTCTTGACGAGGTATGCCTGATCTTCCTTCGCCGCGTATGACGAACGTCTCCCGACGCGGAGGTTAGTAGGATCGTGGGGGAGGTTAGACGTACCAAAGGGAACCTCGGCAGGATAAACCAGTTCCTCCCATTTCCCGTGGGTCGATGAACACCTTCTGCCAAAGCAGAAGGCTAGTAGGGCCACGAGCATGGGACGACGAAGCAGGGAATCCCGACGTGGATAAACCAGTGACCTCCTTGCGATCGTTGGATGACCGAACGTCTTCTTCGAAGTAAGAAGATTAGTAGGACCACAACAGGGACGAACGAAGAATAGGGAATCCCGACGTGGATAAACCTGTTCCTCCTTGCGATCGTTGGATGACCAAACGTCTTCTTCGAAGTAAGAAGATTAGTAGGACCACGACAGGGACGAACGAAGACTAGGGAATCCCGACGTGGATAAACCTGTTCCTTCTCATAGTTGGGATGACGAACGTCTCCTGCGAAACCAGGAGACCAGTACTCACGAGACTTGGGAAGAACGAAGAACCAGTTCTTTACCGGAGTCTGTTGCGTACCGAGTGTACACTGCTTAGCGGTCCGTACATAGGACCACGGATACGGTAGACGAACGAAGACCAGCTCCATGGATCAGACACGATGGACCAGCTCTTTACCGGAGTCTGTGCGTGCCGAGTGTACACTGCTTAGCGGTCCGTACATAGGACCACGGATACGGTAGACGAACGAAGACCAGCTTCATGGATCAGACACGATGGACCAGTTCTTTACCGGAGTCTGTGCGTGCCGAGTGTACACTGCTTAGCGGTCCGTACATAGGACCACGGATACGGTAGACGAACGAAGACCAGCTCCATGGATCAGACACGATGGACCAGCTCTTTACCGGAGTCTGTGCGTGCCGAGTGTACACTGCTTAGCGGTCCGTACATAGGACCACGGATACGGTAGACGAACGAAGACCAGCTTCATGGATCAGACACGATGGACCAGTTCTTTACCGGAGTCTGTGCGTGCCGAGTGTACACTGCTTAGCGGTCCGTACATAGGACCACGGATACGGTAGACGAACGAAGACCAGCTCCATGGATCAGACACGATGGACCAGCTCTTTACCGGAGTCTGTGCGTGCCGAGTGTACACTGCTTAGCGGTCCGTACATAGGACCACGGATACGGTAGACGAACGAAGACTAGCTCCTCAGGTCAGATAGGAGGGACATCACCCAGATTTATTTCAGGCTCACCATTCCTTCCCGGATGGAGTCCTGGCAGACGATCGGCTTCTCACAGCCAATCAGGAGAGAGACTTGACACATCACCAGCACGGCCGAGGGCCGTGAGACGATTATCACTCACCGACAGGCCGAGGGCCATGAGATGATCATCACCATTTTTATGCAGCACGATCGGCCTCTCAGCGCCATCGTGTCTCTTTCACGTTCGGATCGCGCATTCCCTCCAGGATGGCGACGACCGTCTTATGCAGTACGATCGGCCCCTCAGCGCCATCGTACCCAGCTCACGTTCGGCTCGTCCATCCCTTCCAGGGTGGCGACGAATGTCTTATGCATCACGACCGGCCCCTCAGCGCCATCGTGTCCTGATTCACGGTTCGGATCGCCCATTCCCTCCAGGATGGCGACGACCGTCTTATGCAGTACGATCGGCCCCTCAGCGCCATCGTACCCAGTTCACGGTTCAGATCGCCCATTCCCTCTAGGATGGCGACGACCGTCTTATGCAGTACGATCGGCCTCTCAGCGCCATCGTACCCGGCTCACGTTCAGCTCGTCCATCCCTTCCAGGGTGGCGACGAACGTCTTGTGCATCACGATCGGCCCCTCAGCGCCATCGTGTCCAGTTCACGGTTCGGTGCGCCCATTCCCTCCAGGATGGCGACGACCGTCTTATGCAGTATGATCGGCCCCCCCAGCGCCATCATACCCATCTCGCGTTCAGCTCGTCCATCCCTTCCAGGGTGGCGACGAACGTCTTGTGCATCACGATCGGCCCCTCAGCGCCATCGTGTCCAGTTCATGGTTCGGTGCGCCCATTCCCTCCAGGATGGCGACGACCGTCTTATGCAGTATGATCGGCCCCCCAGCGCCATCATACCCATCTCGCGTTCAGCTCGTCCATCCCTTCCAGGGTGGCGACGAACGTCTTGTGCATCACGATCGGCCCCTCAGCGCCATCGTGTCCAGTTCACGGTTCGGTGCGCCCATTCCCTCCAGGATGGCGACGACCGTCTTATGCAGTATGATCGGCCCCCCCAGCGCCATCATACCCATCTCGCGTTCAGCTCGTCCATCCCTTCCAGGGTGGCTACGAACGTCTTGTGCATCACGATCGGCCCCTCAGCGCCATCGTGTCCTGATTCACGGTTCGGTGCGCACATTCCCTCCAGGATGGCGACGACCGTCTTATGCAGTATGATCGGCCCCTCAGCGCCATCATACCCATCTCGCGTTCAGCTCGTCAATCCCTTTCAGGGTGGCGACGAACGTCTTGTGCATCACGATCGGCCCCTAAGCGCCATCGTGTCCTGATTCACGGTTCGGATCGCCCATTCCCTCCAGGATGGCGACGACCGTCTTATGCAGTACGATCGGCCCCTCAGCGCCATCGTACCCAGCTCACGTTCAGCTCGTCCATCCCCCCAGGGTGGCGACGACCGTCTTATGCAGTACGATCGGCCCCTCAGCGCCATCGTACCCAGCTCACGTTCAGCTCGTCCATCCCCCCAGGGTGGCGACGAACGTCTTATGCACCACGATCGGCCCCTCAGCGCCATCGTGTCCAGATTCACGGTTCGGCTCGCACATTCCCTCCAGGATGGCGACGACCGTCTTATGCAGTACGATCGGCCCCTCAGCGCCATCGTACCCAGTTCACGTTCAGCTCGTCCATTCCCTCCAGGATGGCGACGAACGTCTTATGCACCACGATCGGCCCCTCAGCGCCATCGTGTCTCTTTCACGTTCGGATCGCGCATCTCTTCCAGGATGGCGACGAACGTCTTATGCAGTGCGATCGGCCCCTCAGCGCCATCGTACCTGGCTTCACGGTTCGGCTTGCGCATTCCCTCCAGGATGGCGACGACCATCTTATGCAGCACGATCGGCCTCTCAGCGCCATCGTGTCTCTTTCACGTTCGGATCGCGCATCTCTTCCAGGATGGCGACGAACGTCTTATGCAGTGCGATCGGCCCCTCAGCGCCATCGTACCTGGCTTCACGGTTCGGCTTGCGCATTCCCTCCAGGATGGCGACGACCGTCTTATGCAGCACGATCGGCCTCTCAGCGCCATCGTGTCTCTTTCACGTTCGGATCGCGCATCTCTTCCAGGATGGCGACGAACGTCTTATGCAGTGCGATCGGCCCCTCAGCGCCATCGTACCTGGCTTCACGGTTCGGCTCGCACATTCCCTTCAGGATGGCGACGACCGTCTTATGCAGCACGATCGGTCCCTCAGCGCCATCGTGTCTCTTTCACGTTCGGATCACGTATCCCCTCCAGGATGGCGACGAACGTCTCATATGCAGCACGATCAGCGCCCCAGCGCCATCGTGTCTGGCTCGTGTTCGGCTCGCCCATCCCTTCCAGGATGGCGACGAACATCTCTTATACAACTCGATTGGCCCCTCGGCGGCATCATGTCTAGTTCACCTCCGGCTCCGCCCATGCCATCTCGGATGGGGGACCCGTCGTATGCAGCATGATTGGCCCCTCGGCGGCATCATGTCTAGTCCACCTTCGGCTCCGCCCATGCCATCTCGGATGGGGGACCCGTCTTATGCAGCACGTCTGCTTCTCGGCGCTGACATGCCCGGGTTATCGATGAGAGCTACTGCTTCTATCACATCTTGCATTCCCTCTCTCATACATTACATACACACATTACATGCATACATACATTCATGCATCATACCTCATACATTCATACATACACACGTGCATCATGTTTTGATAGTACCGCGACGTCGGGTTATAGATGATGGACCTCTAAGCTTCTCCGATTGGAAAGCTCGAGTCAGAGTCCTTTACTCCCGCCTGATGCATTCAGGGGGAGTGTGCCCGTGGAGGAACACCCTTCGCCCGACCCTGTCGGGAAGGGGGGTGCCTCACTGGTAGATTACGTTCAGGAGTGCAGACACTCACTCATATATGATGGTTATGTGAAGACACAGTTTCCAGCAAGACAGAGGAAGAGCGCAGGCAGAGTATATTTTCTCGAGCAGATTCGCGAGCTCACTACTCAAGAAACTGGGGGACTTGTGTTGGGATATATTATCCCGGCCTATTACTGTTCATGAGTCCAAGGCTTTACGTAGTACGGAGCCCGAGCAGCTAGGCCCATTTCGGCCCATCCGGCCCACTTTAGCCATTTGGGCCCACTCTGGCCCGTTTGGCCCATTAGGGTGGAGAGCCCCTTCTCCCCTTCCCCTATTTATAGGAGGTTTTCCCTCCATGTAAGGGGGTTCCTTCTTCCTTCTCCCTCTAGAATAACTCAAATACTCCATGAATGGAGCTCAAAATGTACTATGTAATGGTGAGGAGAGCCTAATGAGAATTGAGAGGGCTTGGACATTAGCCTAAAAAGTCCCGTGGTTTTCTCCCTTTCGGGTTTCCACGTAAAAACTGAGTTGTTCATACACATTTATACATATATTTACTATATCGTGTTGGATTAAACTCAACACGGATGATAAGTTATCAGTAGTTGAATCTTTATATCCAAGTGCGCCACATCATCTTCCACTAAGCACTACGCATGCAACTCCCACAGGCATGCAGGCTCCTTTTCACACGTCAGAGGGAGTAATTGATCCCATGGAATATGCTGGAGAGACATCTCATGTGGAGCCAAATGACATGCATACGTCCAACATGGACATGCAATCTACTTCGGAGGCCAGTGTACCACTGGGACGTGGCTTGAGACGAAAAATTCCCTCAGTGCGTCTACAGGACTATGTGCAGACCCATGCCGCGACTACGGACCCCCATGACCATCCCATCCAGTCTGCGTCTTCAGGTACTCTGTATCCCTTGACTTGTTATATAAATTATGATGCTTACTCCGTACGCCATCAAGCATTTCTTGCAGCTATTTCTCATGAGAAGGAACCTGTTTCTTATAACGAGGCTGTCCGAGATCCACGATGGAGGGAGTCCATGCGTCGTGAGATTGATGCTTTGGAAGCTACTGGAACGTGGACCATGGTGCCAATGCCTGCACACAAGAAACCTATTCACTGTAAATGGGTATACAAAATCAAATATAATAGTAATGGTACTATTGAACGGTTTAAAGCCCGGCTTGTGGTGTGTGGTAATAGGCAGGTTGAGGGCATTGACTATTGATAGAGTATATAGACTCGGACCCCCGGGCCTCACGACTGTTGGGCCCGGACAGCGGCCCACATACGCTCAGTAGATAGCATTTATCTCATTGTACACTCTATTTTATTCATGTATATCCATTAGAATAGATTAGATACCATTTATTAGCCATTTATTGGCCTTTTATTGTAACTGGGCCAGCCAGGCCCAAGCCTGGAAGCCCAGCCCTCTTTTCTTTTATAAATACTCCCTATGGGAGCCATGTAAGGGATGGTTGAATGGTTGATTGGATTTATACATATCACTTTATCTCTCTAGTTCTCCCTTCTCTCTAGAATTAATAATCTATCATTTGGTGCTTTCATTGAGAGCTAGAATATATCAAGTGAGATCCTCCCCGCCAAATATCACAACACGTAAACTATGCATGTGGTATCACTTCGGCCCTAGTAGAGGCAATATGAACTCCTCGGCCAAAAGTGAATCACTCCTCCCATCTGCCAAACAAAAGGAAAAGCCAGCAAGTTTGTGGGACCCTAAGCCCATGACCCTCATTAAAATTCACGATTAACCAAAGGGGTACTCTTCGGCTATGTCACCTCTTCTTGCACGTGGTGTACGCTCCTCGGCTCAAGGGAAGAACTCCCAAATAGCACGTCGGCCAAGAACAACTAAAACAAGAGGAAAAGCCAAACAAAGAGATGGTGGGACCTCCGGCAAACTGCACCGGCCCCATCAACACTACGGCCGTGACACATCGGCCAAACAACGACGAAGACACCCCACCGGTCGGCAACGGCACCGGTCAGCAACTGCATTAGCCATCAAACACCGTCGGCTTGCAGCGCATCAGCCACACATAACGGCCAAGCAAAGCTTCGCTATATTCTGTCAGCCAAGAAAGGGTCACCTCGTCCGAGAGATCACCTTCGGCCACAAAACCTCGTTGGCTTGCTCGCATCGGCCTCACATCGGCCGGCACACCACACCGGCCAAAAAGAAGGACGCCGCATCGGCCGGCACCCCATCTGCTGGCAACGTCGTCAACCTGCTTACCTGCTTACCAGAGAGCTGCGCTTCCTCCCCCAGCGCGCATCAGCCGGCTCCACCTCGGCCGGACCGCACCGTCCAAAACAGGATTACCTCGTCAAGCAACCGCATCGGCCATAGTGCACCACTGACTGGGACACCATCAGCCTGCACGCATTGGCCAGCGGCCCAGGGCACATCGGCACACCGCACCTGCTAAAAAGGGGCACCGCATCGTCTGGCTTGGCATCGACCGGCACCGCATCGTCCGGTACCACATCGCCGGCTCCGCATCGTCCGGTACCACATCGCCGGTACCGCATCGGCCACAACAGAGCCACCCCGTCAAGCGACCGCATCGTCCAGACTGAACCGCATCGGCCAAAACAGGGCTACCTCACCTGGCGACCCGCATCGGCCAGTCTACTCCTCGGCCAGTGCAGCATTTCTTGCCGTCCCTTGGTCAACAGATCGCACGGGGTAAAACTCGAAGGAAAACAGGGCCACCTCAGCCAAACACCACCTTCGTCCGGCATGGGGATTGGGACCACCTCGGCCTTGCATGGCATCAACCGGCATCCCCCTCGACGTCCACCTTCGTCCCTGTATTCCTTCGGCACCAAATTGAGGGAACCGCGGTCAGTAAAAGCCTCTCGGCTAGGTGACGGGAGAATGACAGCAGGATCGGCAGACTTCTCCCTTGCTCCGACCCTTAGAACCGACTTTTCCCCTGCATTCCTGCGGATGAAATTGACAGGCGGACAGGGTCTGAGGCCTACTATAACCTCAAATGAAGTGATGGGCTGATGAAATGTGGCCCGACTATTAAGCTCCAAGGATTCGGAGTTTGCCCAATCTTATATTTCCCTGCTTGAATTCTAAGCAGGGCAGGCTTCGGCCCAAATACAAGTAAGTCACAAACTTTTCCTCCTATTTTATGCATTAAATATGGAGCAAAATAGTTTTGCCACTATTCAAAAGAAAATATAGTTTTACTACTATTCCGAAAAATAGTTTTACTACTATTCCAAAGAGAAAAAGAAAAATATAGTTTTACTACTAATAAAAAAGGAAAACAATAATAATAATTGCTACTATTATTATTATCTTCACCACCATTGCTAGTGGATTGAAATCCCCAATTGGTGTGGGTCAAAGCCTTAACCTTCCGAACATCTTTATTTGATGATTCGGATCATATTTGGGTCCATTGACCTACCATGGTCATCTTTATTTGATGACCCGGGCATCTAGAATGAGAGCCATCAACGGCCGCACACGACATTATGCCTAGAAGCGGTACACCTCATTCCCCTACACGCTAATTGCGTCATCCAAAAGCCGTTGCAATAAACAACGCACCTAAAGCCGTCGCAATAAACGACGCACCCAAAGCCGTTGCAATAAACAACGCACCTAAAGCCGTCGCAATAAACGACGCACCCAAAGCCGTTGCAATAAACAACGCACTCAAAGCCGTTGCAATAAACAACGCACCTAAAGCCGTCGCAATAAACGACGCACCCAAAGTCGTTGCAATACACAACGCACCTAAGGCCGTTGCGATCCACAACGCGCCTACAAAGCCGTTGCAATAAACAACGCACCTAAATATCGTATCGGCACAAGCGGTGAAACACCCAAATCGGCCGGCGATATGCAGGACGAAGGACCTGTGTGCATGGTCCAACGTCTTCAAACGGAGAAGCATACCGCGTCGTCCGCGCGGAAACCGCAGGACGACAGGCCTGAATTAAGGCTGGGGTTACAAAAACTCCACCCGTCAGTAAAATTTCGCTCAGGACCACAAAGGGCGGCCGTCAAAGGACGATGCCTAGTCCGGTCCCTCGTCGCCGATAGACGTGGAAAGGCAAAAAAGGATGCCACTGACACACCAAGACGAGGGCGTATTTACTCCCTCGCACTAACACACGCGAAAAGCGTAGCGGACAAAATACCGCACATGGACGAAGGGACAGTAACCCTTCGGCCATCCAAAAAAAAAAAAACAAAAAAAAAAAAGGGAAGCCGACGGACCGCGCACTTGCCGGCCTCGAGCAATAAAAATAAATAAATTCCCCAAACTTATTATTCATCTCAAGACCGGCTCCCAATGCCGAAGCTCTTGCTCCATCATCTCATGAACGGCCTCCCCAACGCCGTCATACTTTTATATGACGATCGGATTCATCATCGCCTCGTCATCATTATCCGGATCGGCTCATCATCATCGCCATCCGCACATCACGACCGGCCTCCCAGCCTTGGCGTGATTATTTCTCCTCAAGACCGGCTTCTCATTGCCAAGTGTCTTGAGTTGGCAATCGGGCTCGCCGTCCCTTCCTGGATGGTGACCGTTGCCTCTACATGACGATCGGCTTCATCATCGCCTCGTCATCATTATCCGGATCGGCTCATCATCATCGCCATCCGCACATCACGACCGGCCTCCCAGCCTTGGCGTGATTATTTCTCCTCAAGACCGGCTTCTCATTGCCAAGTGTCTTGAGTTGGCAATCGGGCTCGCCGTCCCTTCCTGGATGGTGACCGTTGCCTCTATATGACGATCGGCTTCATCATCGCCTCGTCATCATTATCCGGATCGGCTCCTCATCGCCATCCGCACATCACGACCGGCCTCCCAGCCTTGGCGTGATTATTTCTCCTCAAGACCGGCTTCTCATTGCCAAGTGTCTTGAGTTGGCAATCGGGCTCGCCGTCCCTTCCTGGATGGTGACCGTTGCCTCTATATGACGATCGGCTTCATCATCGCCTCGTCGTCATTATCCGGATCGACTCCTCATCGCCATCCGTTCTTCACGATCGGCCCCTCGGCCACGACGTGATGCTTTATCTCAAGACCGGCCTCCTTAGCGCCAAGTGTCTTGAGCTAGCGACCGGGCTCGCCATTCCCCTCCTGGATGGCGACCGTCGCTTCCATATGACGATCGGCTCATCATCGCCTCATCATCATTATTCGGATCGGCTCATCATCATCGCCATCCGCACATCACGACCGGCCTCCCAGCCTTGGCGTGATTATTTCTTCTCAGAGACCGGCTTCTCATCGCCAAGTGTCCTGAGCTAGCGACAGGGCTCATCATCCCTTCCTGGATGGTGACCGTCGCCTTTATATGACGATCGACTCATCTCCGCCTCGTCATCATTATTCGGATTGGCTCATCATCATCGCCATCCGCACATCACGGTCGGCCCCCCCGGCCTCGACGTGATGATTTAGCTCAAGACCGGCTCCCTCAGCACCAAGTGTCTTGAGCTAGCGACCGGGCTTGCTGTTCCCTTCCGGGATAGCAACCGTCGCCTTTATATGACGATCGGCCTTCACATCGCCTCGTCATCATATGTTGGACCGGCTCATTATCGCCGTCGTCCTTACATCGCGTCCGGCCTCTCGGCTAAGGCGTGATACCTTATCTCAAGACCGGTCTTAGTCATCCCTTCCCGGATGGCGACCGTTGCTTGGATCTTCGGATCGGCTCATCATCATCGCCATCCGCACATCACGATCGGCCCCCCGGCCTCGACGTGATGATCTCGCTCAAGACCGGCTCCCTTAGTGCCAAGTGTCTTGAGCTAGCGACTGGGCTTGCTATTCCCTTCCGGGATAGCAACCGTCGCCTCTACATGATGATCGGCTCATCTCCGCCTCGTCATCATCATTATTCGGATCGGCTCATCATCATCGCCATCCGCACATCACGACCGGCCTCCCAGCCTTGTTGTGATTATTCCTTCTCAAGACCGGCTTCTCATCGCCAAGTGTCTTGAGTTGGCAATCGGGCTCGCCGTCCCTTCCTGGATGGTGACCGTGGCCTCTACATGACGATCGGCCTTATCATTACCTCTTCATCATATCTTGGACATGCTCCTCAGCATCTTCGTCCTCACATCACGATCGGGCCCTTCGGCCACGACGTAATGCTTTATCTCAAGACCGGCTCCCTCAGCGCCGAGTGTCTTGATCTAGCGATTGGGCTTGCTATTCCCTTCCGGGATAGCAACCGTCGCCTCTACATGGAGATTGGCCTATCATTGCCTCGTCATCATACATTGGACCGGCTTATCATAGTCGTCATCCTCGCATCGCGGCCGGCCTCTCGGCCAAGGCGCGGTACCTTATATCAAGACTGGTCTTAGCCATTCCTTTACTGGGTGGCGACCATTGCATGGATTTTGGGGTCGGCCCCTCAGTGCCGATACCCTCACATCATGGCAGGCCCTCGGCCTCGACGTGATCATATTCCCCAAGACCGGTCTCAGTCATTCCTTCATCGGATAGTGACCGTTGCTTGGACGTTTGGCTCAGCCTCATAGTGTTGATGACCTCGCATCACGATCGGCCCCCTGGCCTCGACGTGATGCCCTATCTCAACACCGGCTTCATCAGCGCCAAGTGTGTTGAGCTAGCGATCGGGCTCCCCATCCCTTCCTGGATGGCGACCGTCGCCTCTACATGACGACCGGCTCATCTCTGCCTCGTCATCATTATTCGGATCGGCTACCCATTATCGCCATCCTTATATCACGACCGCCGCCCCGGCCTCGGCGTGATGATCTATCTCAACACCGGCTTCATCAGCGCCGAGTGTGTTGAGCTAACGATCAGGCTCGCCATCCCTTCCTGGATGGTGACTATCGCCCCTACACGGCGACCGGCTTATCATCGCCTCGTCATTGTTATTTTGGATCGGCTCCTTATCACGGCCGTCCTCACATCACGATCGGCCCCTAGGCCACGATGTGATGTCCTATCTCCGAGACCGGCCTCTCATTGCCGAATGTCTTGGGTTAGCGATCGGGCTCGCCATCCCCTCCTGGATTGCGACCGTCGCCTATATATGATGATCGGCTCAGCATTGCCTCGTCATCGTATCATCAGACAGGCGTCCCACGCCCCGTCCTCATGTTCAGACAGGCGTCCAATGCCTCGTCCTCATATTCAGACAGGCGTCCAACGCCTCGTCCTCATATTCAGACAAGCGTCCAACGCCTCGTCCGCATATATCCAGACAGGCGTCCAACGCCTCGTCCTCATGTTCGGATCTAGCAAACATCTTGCGGTCTCCGGCTCAGAGACTAAAGGATCTCAGATCTCATCTATAGGCCCCTCGGCCACATCTTGCTCTAGCATCTTTATTTGATGACGAAGGGCTCTCATACAGGCCCATCGGCCATATATCTTGCTCCGTCATCTTTATTTGATAACGAGAAGCTCATCTATAGGCCCCTCGGCCATATACCGCTCTGCCATCTTTATTTGATGACGAAGAGCTCATCTACAGGCCCATCGGCCATATACCGCTCTGTCATCTTTATTTGATGACGAAGAGCTCATCTACAGGCCCATTCGGCCATATATTATTCTGTCATCTTTATTTGATGACGAAGAGCTCATCTACAGGCCCATCGGCGATATATTATTCTGTCATCTTTGTTTGATGACGAAGAGCTCATCTACAGGCCCATCGGCCACATATCGTTCTATCATCTTTATTTGATGACGAGGAACTCATCTATAGGCCTCTGAGCCATCTCGCCCCGTCGTCTTTATTTGACGACGTGGAGCTCTTATGCAGGCCCCTCGGCCATACATCGCCCCGTCATCTTTATTTGACGATGTGGAGCTCTTATCCAGGCCCCTCGGCCACACATCGCCCCTTCGTCTTTATTTGACGACGTGGAGCTCTCATATATGCCTCTCGGCCACTACTCCCAGTCATCTTTATTTGATGACGTGGAGCTCACATCGGCCCATCGGCCTCATATTCTGGTCATCTTTATTTGATGAACCAGACATCATATTATGGACGGTCGCTCGACCCATCCCTTAGTCATCTTTATTTGATGACTAGGACTACTGATCATGACGAGCTACCCACATCTATGGATCGGCCTCTGCCATCCCCTCGGAAGACGGACACCGCTGCAGCTCCACCTCTAGGCCGAAGGGCTCGCACCTTTTATTTCGTTCTGGGGGCATCCGATGTACTCTTTTTCCCTCATTAGGATTTTTTCCCACAGGGTTTTTCCTAATGAGGTTTTTAACGAGGCATCTCCCCATTGTGGATCAAAAGGTGTCAACCCTCGGCCCCCTGTTGCAGACATCATCAGACATGCACTACTCTACTCCTCTTCACCTCGTTACACTCGCCTCAAGGAGTGGGGGACTGGGAGAGCGGGGGACTTAGCGCCTTCGCTACCAAAGAAGCAGAAATTCAAAATTTTTGCAAGGATTGCCACACGCACCGACGACATCATCATATCACATACATATTCAGCTGCCACATCGGCCAACACATATACATAGCTCCCCGACCTCAAGACCGGTGGTGATGAGGCCTTCGGCTGAGGATTCTCCCACAGGGTTGCCTCGGCCAGGGCTCGCCAATGGGAACGGATCATCGGATTGGGAATTTGGGCGAGGCGCTTCGGCGACGACAGCGGTTTACTCACCAGACGATGACAGATCAGCACACAGTTCTACTCTCTTTCGCCTCGAGTACTCTCGACTCAGAGAGTGGGGGACTCCTGATAGAGTATATAGACTCGGACCCCCGGGCCTCACGACTGTTGGGCCCGGACAGCGGCCCACATACGCTCAGTAGATAGCATTTATCTCATTGTACACTCTATTTTATTCATGTATATCCATTAGAATAGATTAGATACCATTTATTAGCCATTTATTGGCCTTTTATTGTAACTGGGCCAGCCAGGCCCAAGCCTGGAAGCCCAGCCCTCTTTTCTTTTATAAATACTCCCTATGGGAGCCATGTAAGGGATGGTTGAATGGTTGATTGGATTTATACATATCACTTTATCTCTCTAGTTCTCCCTTCTCTCTAGAATTAATAATCTATCAACTATCATGAAACGTTTGCTCCGGTTGCCAAAATGACAACCGTCAGGACTCTTCTTGCTATTGCTGCCGCCAAAAATTGGGAGTTGCACCAAATGGATGTCGATAATGCTTTTTTGCATGGGCAATTAGATGAAGAGGTCTATATGTATCCACCCCCTGGATTCTCTACCTCACGGCCTAAGCAGGTTTGTCGCCTGCAACGCTCACTTTATGGGCTCCGCCAAGCCCCGCGTTGCTGGTTCTCACGTCTTAGTGCTGCCCTTATTTCTTATGGTTTTGTTCGATCATATGCTGATTATTCTTTATTTACCCTACGTAAGGGGGATCAGTTTGTTACTGTTCTTGTTTATGTTGATGATCTACTTATTGCCGGTAATAATTCCTCTCTTATTGGGGCGATCAAGTCCCATCTGGCTAGCTGTTTTCCGATCAAGGATCTTGGACGTCTCAAATATTTTTTAGGCCTTGAGGTAGCTCGCAATCACACTGGCATATTTTTATGTCAACGAAAATACACATTGGATTTGCTTGATGAGCTTGGGCTGTCTGGATGTAAACCTTCGGATTTTCCCATGGAACAACATCACCGGTTGGCGGTATCTGATAGTCCGTTATTCTCTCAACCAGAACGTTATCGGCGAGTTATTGGTAAATTGATCTATTTAACCTTGACACGCCCAGAACTGAGCTATAGTGTGCATATACTTGCACAATTTATGCAATCACCGCGGATGGAACACTGGGATGCAGTTATTCGGGTTCTTCGCTATCTTAAAGGACAACCTGGTCAAGGTATTTTACTTCGTGCTGATTCTGATCTACATCTCCGCGGGTTTTGTGACTCGGATTGGGCTGCGTGTCCGATTAGTCGACGTTCTCTCACCGGTTATCTAGTTATGTTGGGTGGCTCCCCGATCTCCTGGAAGACCAAAAAACAACCTACTGTATCCCGCTCATCTGCTGAGGCAGAATACCGATCCATGGCTACTGTAGGATGTGAATTACTTTGGCTTAAAAATCTCCTTTTTTCTCTTGGGGTTTCTCTTACACGTCCCAGGGATGTATTTTGTGACAATCAAGCAGCTCTCCACATTGCATCAAATCCGGTATTTCATGAACGAACGAAACATATAGAGATTGACTGTCATTTTGTTCGTGATCTTATTCAGCGTGGCATCATCTCTACTCAACATATTAGTTCTTCTTCACAGTTGGCGGACATTTTCACCAAGTCTCTTGGCTCGCAGCAGTTTCATTTTCTCATGTCCAAGTTGGGCGTTCTAAACCCGCCCGCTCCAACTTGAGGGGGGGTGTACGAGACTATAGTTTGTTATTTCTGTGCAAATATTATTGTATTTATTTCTTTCCTTATTATTTAATCAGGCTCCTATTGTATCTACGGAATGGAGTTATTTTAGGCTAAGTCTTAGGCCTTGTAGTTACCATATTTTTACCTTCTTGAGCTTGTATATATACGGACCTCTGTATTACGATTCATATGAAGAATATACTACTTTGATATTATTTCCTTTCTATTCTTCTGCGCTATTACTCTGCGCTAATAATAATGCTATAAACTCACGTTGTGTGTTCTTTTACACACTATTCCACGTGATCTTTTTCTTGTGAGATACACGTGGAAAAAAATTGTCTTCTTATAAACTTATTAGTGGCGGGGGCGATTGCAGTACCGGCGGCGGCAACAATATGCGGAGGCGGCAATCTGTGGCGGCAGTAGAGGAGCGCAACTCTTAGCACAGAGAGGAGAGAATGATGAATGTTAGGATTTGGGTGTTTCAAGGGTACCTTTGTCTCTTTAAATTTAGTTGGTCTCTTTTTTTCTTAATTTAAAATGAATCGTTTTTTTGTCTTTTAAGAGTGTATAAGTAATATTTATGTCATTCTTTCTAATAATAAGTAATATTATTGCACTACAAGAAAAGTGCACAACTGCACATAGACCGCACATGGACCGATATTTTTTTTGCGATGGCCGCATAACTGTCGTTAAAAACACTATTAACCACACATTTTTTTTATTTACCACATACAAAACTGTGGCAAAAGGTCAGAGACGACAGTTTTTAATCGTGGCCAATGTTTTTACCTTGGCTGTTGTTGCGACGCACGTAAAACTGACGCAAAACTGTCGTAAATGTTCCTCATGTTTTTACGACAGTTTTGCGACAGTTTAAGGTGCGTCAGCACAACAGCCGTGGTAAAAACATTGGCCACGGTTAAAAACTGTCGTCTCTAAGCTTTTACCACATTTTTGTGTGTGGTAAATAAAAAAAATGTGGTTAATGGTGTTTTTAACGACAGTTATGCTGTCATCGCAAAAAAAAATGTGGTCCATGTGCAGTCTATTATGTGCACTTTTTTTGTAGTGTTGTAATACTTTTTCTTTAGTTTCATAAATGCATGTCTATTGTTCTTTCAGCAACAACAAAAGTTTCATAAATGCATGTCTATTGTTCTTTCAGCAACAACAAAACTGCACGTCTATTGTAATAATAATAATAATAATAATAATAATAATAATAATAATAATAATAATAATAATAATAATAATAATAATAATAATAATAATAATAATAATAATAATAATAATAATAATAATAATAATAATAATAATAATAATAATAATAATAATAATAATAATAATAATAATAATAATAATAATAATAATAATAATAATAATAATAATAATAATAATAATAATAATAATAATAATAATAATAATAATAATAATAATAATAATAATAATAATAATAATAATAATAATAATAATAATAATAATAATAATAATAATAATAATAATAATAATAATAATAATAATAATAATAATAATAATAATAATAATAATAATAATAATAATAATAATAATAATAATAATAATAATAATAATAATAATAATAATAATAATAATAATAATAATAATAATAATAATAATAATAATAATAATAATAATAATAATAATAATAATAATAATAATAATAATAATAATAATAATAATAATAATAATAATAATAATAATAATAATAATAATAATAATAATAATAATAATAATAATAATAATAATAATAATAATAATAATAATAATAATAATAATAATAATAATAATAATAATAATAATAATAATAATAATAATAATAATAATAATAATAATAATAATAATAATAATAATAATAATAATAATAATAATAATAATAATAATAATAATAATAATAATAATAATAATAATAATAATAATAATAATAATAATAATAATAATAATAATAATAATAATAATAATAATAATAATAATAATAATAATAATGATAATAGTAAAAAATGAAATTATATAAAAGTAATTTTCAAAATTATAATCATGCAAAAGTTATATTATAATTCGTAATAATATGTGCCATATTTTTATTTAATTTTATTTCTAATATTTTCATTCTTTGTAAGTGTACAACTTCCCTCCGATCCTTTGACGTCCCACCTAAATATTTTTATTTCTATTTTAGAAAATAAGTAAGAATGACCTCATTATATTATACATCATTCAAAACTATTTTCTCAAAATATACTTGAATTAACACATTTAATTAGTGTCTAAATAGTTGTGTCATTTTTCAATGGAAACCTTAAGTCGGGGACGGAGATAATATATTTTTTATGTGGGTAATGAGTTTGGTTTCTTTGAATTAGAATATGTTCTTATTTCATGGCACCTTAAATTATCCAAAGAGGGCATATTCAAGTCATATTTTGTTTGGGGTATGACACGTTCTCAGTTGTTTGTCTGGTGTGTTATAATAATTATATGGATTAAATAATACCCCTCCAGATTTGATGTAAACAGTACATTTTTGACTTTGTACTTAGAAAGTCATGTTGTGTGATTATTGTTTATGTTCATCAAATAAATCAGCACTCATCAGTTAGATTTAGAAACCAATTATCACTTGTATCTTAATCTTGAGATGATTGAGATCAATTTTTTTACAATTGGACTATCTCCGGGGAATCGGCATAAATGATGGTGATGCATCAATTATTCCTTTGCTTATGTATGCCTTTAATTCTATCTCACAATAGCAATGAATCAATACCCCACCCCCACCCCCACCCCCACCCCCACCCACACACACACAGATATATGCACACATTTGGTTTGGTGCATAAGAGACAATTTAGTCCCTAGAGGTATCGATAAAGTTATCAACAAAAGATAGCAGACTTTAGTTACATGATTTCAACACGAAAAAAACTTTATGCTGAAAAAGCATATCCTTTTTGAAGGAGAAAGAGTTATACATAGGACCCGAGTGCGTGACAGGCGAGTCCAATAAAGTACTTTTTGAAAGGAAAAAATCGCCACTTCTTCAACAACTTGAAAACAAATTCATCCAACTGAACAAATATTCGTCCTTAATAAACCTAATGAGTTGTTCGCTAAATCCAATAACTACCAAAACAGATTTGAAACAAAGGCATCAATATATATATATACAAAGAGTGTATAAAATCGATGAAGAGTTACCATAATTGTTTTAATTGCCGGTTTGTTAAGCTTTTTCAGGTGTTGCTCAACCTCATAACGTTGCTTATTTGATGATAACCGGGCGGTGGCACAAGACACCGAGATTAAGCTACCGCAAATGGAGATTACGAAGAAAGCTACTCCAAATACTCCTCTCATCTTCTTCTTCTCAAGGTCAGGCCACCGCCAACTGCTAAAACGTGTCATTCTCACGTACTCAGCCGAATGAAACAACCTAGAGTTTGATGGAAATGATAAATATCCAATATAAATAAAAATAACAAGAATATGCACATTAGCACATGGAGATCGCAAAGAAGTTTATCCCAAGTAGTACCTTGGTGTATGTAGAGAAGATCGAGAAATTAAGCCCTTGTTAGCAAGCCTTCTTATTACAATCGCGTGAGTTATATTAGTGTTATTTTACTTAC